GTGGTATCAAAGAAGTATTCTGTTATTTAAATGATAAAGAACCATATTTTATAAAGAACCATATTTGCAAAATGATCCGATCTGTTACGGTAATGCTATATGATCCGAGCCGTGGGTTTTGTGATATGTTGCACCCCTTCTATCTTGACTTGTTATTTGAAGAAAAAAAGCAATCACTGAAGTTTTTACACTGTTCTAGTGGTTTTTGGATATTTTAATAAACAAATCGTACATATTGTGCCTTTAAGTCTTGTTTCTTTCAATTGAGATTACTAGCTAAGGTAAAACCGTTTCTGTCACCTAGCAATTTTGAAAAGCTTATTCATGCCTTTATTTCTGTAAGACTGGACTACTGTAATTCTTTGTATGTGGGTGTGAGCCAATCGCTGTTAACTCGCTTACAATTAGTGCAAAATGCTACTGCTAGATAACTGATGAGTGTTCGTAAGCACCAGCATATAGCACCCATCTTAGCTACTTTACATTGGCTTCCAATTCAATGCAGGATCGATTTTAAATTACTTATCTTAGTATATAAAGTCTTACACAATCTGGCTCCCTCTTATTTAATTGATTTTTTACATTTACACAAACCTCAAAGGAATCTAAGGTCATCAAACCAGATGATTCTAGACGTCCCTATGACAAGATTAAAACTGAGTGGTGACCAGGCATTTTCAGTGGTGGCCCCAAAGCGTTGAAATAGCTTGCCTTTACCTATAACTCAATCCGAGCAGCTGAGTCCTTAGCCATCTTCAAGAATCGGCTAAAAGCACATCTCTTCCATCTTTTTTTGACCCTCTAACTCTATCACTCTCTATTCTAATTCTATTCTTTAAAAAAAAAAACTTGCCCCTTTTTTGCCCCTCTATTCATTTACTAACTGCTTGTTTTTAAAAAAAAAAACACTAGCTTCTCTAATCTTTTTTGTATTTTATCTATTTGTTTTCTTTTTATTTATTATACAATTATAATTCTGACTTTCTGACTTCTGATTAACAAAAGCAAAAAAGGACCTTGCTACGTGTACTGCGTTAAGCTAACTGAGACTTGTTATAGCACTTGCAAATCATTGCTCTCTTGTTGATTTTGATTGCTTTGTCCTCATTTGTAAGTCGCTTTGGATAAAAGCGTCTGCTAAATGACTAAATGTAATGTAAATGTAATTTAAAATTATTTATAATTAAGTCCACAATGATCAATGGAACCATGATAAATAAATCTGATAGAGATGTCGTATGTTTGAGACCCAGACACTTGAACTCTTTGTGATGTTTCACAACTAAAGCTTAACAAGACTGAAGATAAAACAAACAAAAAAAAAAACGTATGATGACAGTGGATTCATAACAATGTAAAAATCAAAAGACCTAAACTTCATTTGCTATATTCCATAGCGGAGACAACTTATAATTCAACAGAGATGAGCCCTCTCTGTTGAGCCAGTCAAAACAGATGCGTAACTATCAGCCGATTCCCAGGTTTCTCTGAGTCTCAGGTTCACTTTTCTCCCTCTGAAATGAGATCTGTGGTAAGGCAGCCCTTAAACAGAGTGCTGTATTGATGTCTGATTAACAGACCTCAGCAGCCACAGGATAGAATTTCCTCAGTTCACAGAGCATGCCGGGTCTCTTTAACTCTGACACGTCTTCATTATCTGATGGCTCATTTAGAGACTTTGGAATGCTAAAATTTTAAATTATTTATAATTAAGTCCACAATGATCAAAGGAACCATGATAAATAAATCTGATAGAGATGTCGTATGTTTGAGACCCAGACACTTGAACTCTTTGTGATGTTTCACAACTAAAGTTTAACAAGACTGAAGATAAAACAAAAAAAAAACGTATGATGACAGTGGATTCATAACAATGTAAAAATCAAAAGACCTAAACTTCATTTGCTATATTCCATAGCGGAGACGACTTATAATTCAACAGAGATGAGCCCTCTCTGTTGAGCCAGTCAAAACAGAGGCGTAACTATCAGCCGATTCCCAGGTTTCTCTGAGTCTCAGGTTAACTTTTCTCCCTCTGAAATGAGATCTGTGGTAAGGCAGCCCTTAAACAGAGTGCTGTATTGATGTCTGATTAACAGACCTCAGCAGCCACAGGATAGAATTTCCTCAGTTCACAGAGCATGCCGGGTCTCTTTAACTCTGACACGTCTTCATTATCTGATGGCTCATTTAGAGACTTTGGAATGCTAATGCTTTCTGTAGTTAATTAATAAAATTATTGTGATGATCAACTTCGGAAATTACAATCATTTACAGCACCACAATCAGCACATGAGGAAATAATTAAAAACTATAATATAGCTCAGTTGATGTTTTTTTTTTTGTTGTTTTTTTTAGCTGGCTTGATGGTCGCCAAAATGATTACAATGTGCTTTAGGAGATGCTTCCTATCTACTTGAGGAAGTGATTTTAATCCATTACATACTCTGTTTCAGACAGGACCTCTGAATAAAGATTAGGAAAAGATATCGGCCTGCCTTTGTGATATCAAATTCACCATTCCAGCTCTTTATGAAGCACTAAGAGCTTTTTAAAAAAGGTTCTTCTGTGTGAGAATAAAACCTGGCCATTATCTACTTTAGATAATGTCATTTAATCGTACCCCTACTTTGAGTCTCATTTTCAAAACAATTAACTAGGATCTTGTGACCCACATTTTGCATGCAGGAGGAGACCTGCCCTGCTCTGGTTAACTCTTCTTCTCTGGTGTCCAGGGAGGGATCTTAAGGCTCTAATCATTGAGATACATGCACTGAGTCTGCAGTAGGGCTGCACGATTAATCGAATGCGATTTTCATGCGCATTTTGTTAAAAAAGCCGGTTCTGTAATCAGCAGGAAATCATCATCACGTGCTTTCAGATGGAGCAGAATTTACTACACGTAGCCGTAGTTCACTGACAAGTTACGCAAAAAAAAATCGCGATTATGAAATCGAAGAAATAACAAATTTTTACTCCAAACTCGTTTCATAACGAGTGTTTGAAATAAATCCTTCTGTGAGATGATGTGGCTTCTTACAGAGAATAAGGCACGCAACATATTTCATAGTATTTAAGTAGTGATAAAGGCATTGCATTATAAATATACTTTATTTTAATGAAAATTATAATAATAAGAACTCAGATAAACCGTATATTGCCGTAGTCGTGTGTTTATTAGTCATGTTGAATCAATGAAAGCAGTTGAATCTTCTGTTTATTCAGCTGCAGCGATAGGCATTTTCTGGGTTTCTTCTGCAAAGGCGTATTTGGAGTTTTAGCGCGAGAGTGCCCTCTGGCCTTTGGATGGAGATTTACTGCTGATCACAGAACCGTGCTTCACTGAAAGATACGCATGACAATCGCAGCTTCTGTCGAATCACGATTCCATTTCGATTTATCGTGCAGCCCTAGTCTGCAGTGATGCTCTCTCAGAGAAACCATCGTAAATCATCAGCCTACGGATTAGGACTAGGGTAATCATGTCAACAGACAGATTACATTTTGTTTGTCCTTTAGAATACATATCTGAAGAAAAGTCAAATTGGAAACCCTCACTCCAATACATTTTTCATTAGCAGCACTCTTAAGAACACGTGCATGCAGCATATATGAGAAGAGGGATATCTGCATGCAATTGTGTAAACATGAATGACGCTATGCATGAAGGTGATTACACATGTATGGTGTATGAACTTAGCAATGCTGAGCACAAAGATTCATCATGGCAGCTTAGAGTAAGATGGTTTTCTGAGATACAGAACAGTGCTGACACACAAATAACATTACTGTGTAGCTCTTCGGCCTGGACAATGGAAGCAAATATTTACAGCTTGTGGTCTTGTGATATGCAATTAAAATGTCTGTTATGTTCCCCCATCTATTACTAAGTTTTTCTGCTTTTTACAAACCGAGTTGGCTTTTAAAACTGAAGCAAGACACATTAGAGAAATACATTCACAAAGAGGAAGCTTACCAGCCTTTGTCCTAAAACATGTGACCATTTCAGTAGACAAATCTAAAACAAGTAACTAAGAATGCATTAACTGATACTCTTTACTTTCAGCCACTCAAGCAAAAACGTCCATGTTTTTTTTTCTAAAGAATAGGAAGCAGAGGATGAAATTATAACAGGAAGCCTCCACACCTTGAGGGTCAAACACAGGGAGTCACTGGCACACGGCCAGTCAAACCCCTGAGAAACTCAAACAGGCTGTTCAGCATTCCTAGTGGTTGCCTTCCTTGCCTAGTTTGCAATGGCTGGCCTAAGACAACTAAGAAATACTGTACTGCGGCTCCTCAAACAAACTACAAGATAAAACAATGCAGATAAGATATCTTTATACAAGAACATTCTGAAATAATATTTTAGATAATAGTTTATAGTTAATACTTTGAAGCAGTGTTCATATTTTTTTAAAGTTCAAATTTACCATTCACAGCACAGTGCTATAGGTACCCTTTAGACAATATATGAATAGACAGGAAAGCAGTTAAGGTCAAGAAACAAAGTTAAATGCTTTCGTATCATAGTCACCTACATGTCAGTAAGTTCTCAACCCTCTGAAAACGGAGGCAATGGTAATTAAATGCCAGTATATAGCTTGAGTAACACATACCCCTGATTGGCTTTTACTACTCAACACCTCCGTGCAATGACCCACCAAACTTTTGGAGGGAAAATGTCACAACCTCCACAGGCTGAATATGAACACCCCATGAATGAAAAACAGATACTGATTATTTCCTACAGTGCTCACAACAAAGTTTAGTCACCTGTCTTGTGTCTCCTTATACGTAAAAAAGATAGATAGATAGATAGATAGATTTAATGCAACCCATGGTGATAAATAGTAGCTCATACAGCATGACACAGTACTTTCAATATATAGATTTATTTCATGCAACCCATGGTGATAAATAGGCTAGTAGCTCCACACCATGACACAGTACTTTCATTATTACTAGGGCAGTGCTGAATGAAGGACACATTGTAGTACCTATAAGCGCCTGGAAGAGGTTACTCTGGAAGATGTCAATGACTCTCTGAATGGAGTTTCTCAGCTGTCTCTCTTCAGTGTTACTGAGTTTTGACCGGTATTCCTCCAGCAGTAACAGAGCCCTCTGTGCATCTATACAGGGCAGACAGAAAGTTTTCATGAATTACTTAATTACACGATACTACAGCAGACAGTATAACGCGAAATATCTAAAACTCGTCTGTAAGTTTGCCGTCATGAGTGAATAAAGCCCAAGTAAGACACAAAGTTAAATGACTTTACCGTACGTTTTAAAACCTATGTGGTGGTGACTGGGCAAAACATATGACAGTCCTTATTTACAAACAATTGTAGAGTTTATATTCAGTTACCTTGGAGATAAAACTCGACAATATCTTAATATTTTACAGTCGGGAATGTTAAAGGGGTCATATGATGCGATTTCATTTTTTCCTTTCTCCACGGCATCAACAGTATGTGAGGGGCGTAACATTTCCGTCTCACGTTTGAGGTATTCGGCCAATCACAACGCATTGGATAGCTGGCCAATCAGAGCACACCTCGCTTTTCAGACCGATTAGTTTTGTAAAAATCGACGCGTTTCAAAAAGGCGGGGCATAGAGGAGAAACAATAATGTACAGTATGTGGAAAATAATGTGGTTTTTTTACTTTAAACCGCATAAACACATTTCATTACACCAAATACACCAAATAATGTTCTTTTTAGCAGCATCATATGACCCCTTTAAGTTAAGCCGCGAAGCAGTGAGTTACCAACTACAATGTCAGACTGTGTAAAAGTATATCCGACTTAATAAGTATATCCGATTTGTAATGAGAGTTTTCTCATGTTTATCTCACCTTTTTTCCTTACTGGCATGTTTCGCTTGGGCTCTTGCACGATAACAAATCCAGCAGAGCTCGCGATGGAATTTGACAATACACGCGATAATAAAACGCTCCTCTCCCAACACGAGTCCGTCCAGGGTGTCTTTGAGGAGTCAGTCAGACGCAGCTGGCATGAAACTCAAATGTTTTTCCGGTAAACATGGGGACGGTTCAGGCTGGTATGAAAATGAGCCGCTTGGATTTAGCGCAGAGCGAGAGCTGCACTTCTTCGACCTGACAGTCGCGCGACACCACAGAATTGAGCTTTACTCCACTGACAGCCATGCGCTTCCATTCAAAAGACACATAGACGCTACGACTCCACCGCCAATCTGCTCCGCGTCTGCAGGGGAAAAACTGAACATATGTCGCCGCCAGTTGCAGGGCTTCCAAAAACTCCCCAAATTGCAAATATACACCTCCCGCTCCCTGCCGTGCGCTTGCAAGGGCTCAGTGTGAACACAAGCGATTCAAATCCTCACGTCTGCAGTTTGCTACATTCTTCTTGGCCTTCGATAGAATGAGGATTGTTTTGCTAAACGTCAAACTTATTTCGTTATCTCCTCCTTTTTTTCTTCTTATTTGTCAGAAATTCCAAACTTTCCTCCAAAATGGCGTCCCAGGGTTGGATGTCACGTGATTATAGACCCTACCCTTGACCGCCCAATCATGGGACTGAGCTACCTTTCAACTCGGGGTTGGGAAGGTGAGACTTGACAATATCTTAAAGGAGACTCACTGACTCAAGCAGGCAAGTGGTATAAACAAGGGTCCATATGAGGATATAGGCTCTTAAATTCATGCGGGACACATTATGATTGAACATTGCTATGCCTAGGCTGTGTTTTCAATCCAAATGAAACATTCACGAGTATGACTACACCGGCCTTGATTTACCAATCCACTGCCAAGAAGTTGTAGTAGCTGTTCACGTGTAAACTCAACTGAGGGGGCATTATGTAAATCCACACAGAACCTGATCTTGAGATGGGGCTGCACAAAGTTCTCTGTTTTAATCCAGGGGTTTAATGGTCAACCCTATAGGGTAGAATTATTTTGGTGTTGCTATTGCAAAATATATATATATAAATAGTGTCATAAAATAGAAAAAACATGAAATAGAAAAAGTGTCATAAAATACTGTACATTTTATGTGCATTTGTTGCAAAATGCTGCATGCATAAAAAAAATTCAACCGTGAAATAACCTAAACTAGGTTAAAACAAAAACATCCTCTTGTACTCTTCATTTATTAATGTTTTTCAATCCCAGAACACACAATTAAGGTTGTCTGACACCACAAACACTCAATGAATCAGCGCTTGATGGTTCAAATTTATCAAATCTAATATATAACAACAAACAACCAAAGCAGTGGCCCAGAGGATCTTATTTTAAGATGGTCATGTTTTATGAATGATCCTCTCTGATCTTGAAGAGGTTACCTCCTCCTTGCAGTCAAGAGCAGTCAGGTTTGCATCGTATCTTATGAATTTAGGATTTGCTTTGAGTATTTATTTAGATTTTGCCTTTAGCAGCATATCTGTTTTGGTGACAGACGTGCATGCATTGTGTACGAATTTTTGGGAGTCTGGCATTTTTGTGGAAGTTTTCATACTTTCATTTGTTTAAAATGTGTTGTTTTAGTTTAATATTAATGAAGTGTGTCAATGTAATCAACATGTATTACCATTTGAGACTGGGCATATTCTCTGTGACAGAATGTGGATCTGTAAGCAATATGACATTGGCGCTTCCCAGCACATGTCCATCCCGTCTGGCTCTCTCATACTGAACAGTGATTATAGCAGCTGTTTTTGCTGTCATCTCTGGACAAATTGCTCAATTAATCTTGGCATAAATCAGGATTTGGGCAGCAGTGTTGGTGAGCGTAGTGACATGAAATTTTGTCAACAACAAGGGAAATAAAACTAAATTGGTGTAGGATTTTCTCTGGGCAGTTAGTGCTGCATCTATGTAAACATTTGTTACTGTTTTGTTTAGTTGTTTTTGCTTTGTCACCAATAATGATAATGTGATGCTGTTGCAGTTGCTGCATTGAAGTCATTATTACCAGTATTGCACATTTTGTTATAATCAATCTTTTTGGTATTATGATAATTGTACAGCAGCATGGCATGTAATTTGATTTTATTCTCTTAATGTGATGATGGCCTATTAAACAAATCCCAGCCTGTAAACAGATAATACTCTGGCATAATTTCAGTGGGCTGTCAGATGCCAGGACATGATCGATCCAGAGTAACAGCTTGTCTTTCATTTGTGCTGCATCTTAGTACATCAAAGTTACTCTGAGAAATGTCAGTCATAATGTCAATACTTGATGTTTCCAATGATGATTATGTCGTGATGTCCCCACAATAACAGACCAGTGTGTAAAACCCTTGGACTTATTTTAAAGATTCTATGCCGCAAACTTTAAATATTTCACATACTTTTGAAAAATCCAGTGTTTTGTTGATCCTCATAAGTGCTCATTGTCACAGTTGTAAACATATGACTGCTTTCTTCTTCCATGACGGGGTTTGGCGTCACGGCATCTTTGTTTCTAGGCGGAATGTTAAAGAACTCGGCACACAGGTCTCCCGGAAATCCTGTATATTTCAACCAATCCGATGACGAATTTGAAACTCCTGAAGTGTTTCCAATTTTGTGTGCCATATGCAGCCAACAGTCCGTGGGCGTGATGTCTGAGGCTGAGACTATAAAAGTCCTGCCAGGACCATGAAGGTATAAATAAAACATGTAAGAAATTTTAAGAAAATACATCCATAATTTTTCCAAACATGCTTGTCCTATGTAGGGTCGCAGGGATGGTTGAGCCTATTCTTGTTTCTCAGCACCTAGGCAGGGAAACAGCCTCAATGGATGGACACACATTCACACTCTCTGGAAATGTATTGCTTCCAGTTCACCTATCCTTCCTGTCTTTGGATTGTGGGAGAAATCCAGAGCTTCTGGAGGAAACCCATGCCAACACGGGGAGAACATGCAAACTCCAGCCAGGACTTGAATGTATGATATTTAAAACTCACTGTGATGGACTTGGCATCCATCCAGTGTGTTTCACTGTGTCACGATCCATGCCTGTGTTTCCCTGTCTTGTGTTTAGGACTCTTGTTTTGTAATGTGTTTCTGTGCTCCTCCAGTGTTCTGTGTCCCTGTTTACCTACCTGCCTTGTTAGTTACCATCATTAGTTCCCATGACAATTCATTAGCTCCACCCCCTTGTTGCCTTGTTACCCTGAGTATTTAAACCCCTGTGTTTGCCCTGGTTCTTGGTCTAGTCTTGTGTCTGTTTACTAGCTGTTGCATGTTTGTTTCCCTGTTCATGGTTTCTGTCATCCTGGTTCCTTTTAATTACTTCAGTAAAACTCATCTGCATTTGGATCCTCTCGCCTTTTGTCCCTGAATTCAGCAAGCGTAACACCCTGCCTATGGCCAGAGACACACCAACATCTCCATGCTTCACAGAGATAAACAGGAAGTAACAGAATCGATTATGGAAACTCAGCTATGGAGTCAGTTAAGATTTGGCAGCTCTAAAAGACAGTAGTTCCATTATTTAGCTCAAGTCAGTTTAGATTAGTAAGAGTTTCAAGTAAATCAATCAGCAGTTCTAAAAGGCAGCAGTGTTGTTATTCAGCTCGAGTGAGTTCAATGTTGATTCAGTTTAGTTCAATCCCAGTGATGATGTAGCAAGATGTGATTCAGCTGTAAAGCAGCCCTATAGAAAACAATAGTGCCATCATTCAGCTTAATTCAGTTCAAATTTAGTTTATCCGATGGCATCAGGGTGGATATAAAACCCATATAAAACAAATAAAAGCACATAAAACAAAACATACATAAAACAACGCAAATGTAAGCAGATATGTCAACATGTTCTAAATATTAATAAAATTGTATGCATACATTTATATATTGTTTAACTTCTGCATAAAATAAGAGATTTTGATTGTTTAGATAGATAAACACTTTATTGTCAGACATTTTTCTTACATCACAGTATCTCAGATTTGACAGTAACAATGTATATTCACTCTGTGTTATGCAGGATATGATTGGTAATAATACTGTTTGCCAGACTTAATTAAGATGTTAAGTTAATTTATTAAACATCTCAAAGGGCTGGCCAACAATCTTTGAACACATTCTTATTTAATTAAATAACTGATAACACTTTACAATAAGGTTCTATTAATTAATGTTAGTTAATGTATCAACTAACATGAACAAACAATGATCAATACATTTATTACAATATTTATTCATCTTTTTTAATGTTAGTTAATGAAAACAGTCGTTCATTGTTAGTTCATGTTAATTCACATTGCATTAACTAATGTTAACAAGCACAACTTTTGATTTTAATAATGCATTAGTTAATGTTGAAATTAACATTAACTAAGATTAATAAATGCTGTCTAGTATTGTTCATGCTTAGTTCATGTTAACTAAAGTAGTAGTAAAGGCGGTGGAGCTCGTTTCAGGCCTTCCCAAAGTAGCGGAGCCCGCTGATGTTCCCTCCAAGGCGGCAGAGCTCGTTTTAGGCCTTCCCAAAGTAGCGGAGCCCGCTGATGTTCCCTCCGAGGTGGCGGAGCTCGTTTCAGGCCTTCCCAAAGTAGCGGAGCCCGCTGATATTTCCTCTGAGGTGGCGGAGCTCGCCTCAGGCCTTTCCAAAGCGGCGGAGACCGCTGATATTCGCTCTGAGGTGGCGGAGCTCGCCTCAGACCTTCCCGAAGCGGCAGAGCCCGCTGATATTCCCTCCGAAGCGGCAGAGCCCGCTGATATTCCCTCCGAGGTGGCGGAGCCCGCTGATGTTCCCTCCGAGGCGGCGGTGTTCGCTCGCACTTCCTCCAAGGTGGCGGAGCTCACCTCTGATCTTCCCAAAGCGGCAGTGCTCGCCTCGGGGGTTCCCGCAGCGGCGGAGCCCGCCATTGCCCGTTCCAAGATGGCAGCTCCACACACACCGCTGTGGTGGCCGCTGGTTCTGCCCTGGGTCCCTATCCCGCCGGCTCTGCCTCAGTCCCCAGGTCCCCCTCCAGCACACGGACCTGGCCTCCCCATCCCTCTCTCCACCGCCTCGGAGGGAACATCAACGGGCTCCGCCGCTTCGGAAAGGCCTGAACTAATGTTAACAAGCACAACTTTTGATTTTAATAATGCATTAGTAAATGTTGAAATTAACATTACCTAAGATTAATAAATGCTGTCTAGTATTGTTCATGCTTAGTTCATGTTAACTAAAGTAGTAGTAAAGGCGGCGGAGCTCACTTCAGGCCTTCCTGAAGCAGCAGAGCCTGCTGATGTTCCCTCCGAGGCGGCAGAGCTCGTTTCAGGCCTTCCCGAAGCAGCGGAGCCCGCTAGTACTCTCTCCGAGGCGGAGGAGCTCGTTTCAGGCCTTCCCGAAGCGGCGGAGCCTGCTGATGTTCCCTTCGAGCTCCCCCTACTCCGCCCCCGTTCTGCCGTCCCCCTGGCTAGGCGCTCGGGAACGTCTGGAAGCCATTCCTTAGAGGAGGGGTCCTGTCAGGGGTCTGGGCCCTGTGTTTCTCCCTCTCCCATCTCCCTTCCTCGCGGACTCCATTCCCCAGACTCCACTCACCTGTCCCTCATTACA